GGCAACATAATGAAGTACCCAAGAGAGTAACTTCTTCCTGAATAACTTCATCTTGAATTAACTAAGGACACATAAACCTAAAACCACATAATGGCTTGCGATTTTAAGATTATGGATAGTGAGGTTGTGGTGTATCAGATCATTGAAAAGATTGATTCTTAAATAAATATGACGAATCATCATTTTATTGTTTTCCTGAGGTATATGATTTTTGCTTGATATAGTCCTCACACTTCAAATGCCTCAATGCACCTCTGATTTTGGAGATCTTCCCTAGCACTGTGCTCAAGTGTTAGCTGAGATGATGCGCTCAAAGTTTCGACTAGGTCTTGAACCCGCAACTTACCGACTCAAAGGTGAGAGTGCCACCAACTGAACTAAACTTTGATACTATCATTAATTTTGTGTGCGTTTCTAAATGTGTAAATATATGTGTATATATATATGTGTGTGGATACATATAAATGGTGGGATCTTTACTTTCATTGAAGAAGGTAGTTGAACTTTTTTTAATTCAGCTACATATGTGTATTGTCATGCATACTCTTATCACTTACTGGATAACAACTGCCAGCTCATCAGATCAAGCATAGTCTGTATGTCTGGAAGTAGCAAGAGCATTTGCCTTTTACAATATGATTGACAATTAAATAAAATTGAAATGAAAGTAAACCAACTTTCCGACACGGAATTTCATTAGTCAACAAATACATGGGGAATGACACCAACTTCTGGCTCCTTCAATGAAAACCAGAAATTATTTGAGAACTTATTTTCTAATGTAAGTAACATTTCTTAAGGAACATACCATCATACTGTTCCTTTCCAGTTGTTTTTATTCTTTGGAAATTTATTTTGCAGTCGTGCTTTCATCCCTGCAAGTATTTAACTTTTTCAAAATAAATCACGTATTTAATACATTAAAGAACTAAAGGTAGGATTTTTTGACAGAGTTTGAAAACAGAGAACTGTAATTATTTGGTATATTCAAGAAAGAGTTTTATGAATTGATCAGCACAAAGGAATGCTAGATGTAGAAAATAATATGTATCCTGTAGTACTTACAAGGCAGTAGTCTCAAGGAAGGGCTATGTTGACCTAAGAAGTACAGCTCATTTTACTTCAAACAAATGATCTGTTTTGAGATATGTGTTTAAATAGATTTGGAAGCTGTGTTCCTCTGTGACTGATCAGAAATGTCACTCCTAACATCTCTCCAGTGATGACAGCTGTTTCCAGGTGACATCATAAATGATCAGAGCAAAGCTCGAGCTGACATCTGAACTCTGACATGAAGTTCAAATCACTTTGCAATGTGTGCTTATTTATTTTGAAAAATGTATATTTAAAACAAATTGTGAAATTTGTGGTGGAGAGGGAATTTTATTTCTTTACCAGAGTTTTTTTCTGATCTCTCACAGGGGTTCACGGTGAATCTTGGCAGCCACAACATGCCACATGTTGATGAGCAATGGTATAAAAATTGAAACATTAGTCGTACCTAACACAGTCAGTATGTGTTGTATTACCATTTAGGTGGAAGGGTGCTATGAAACACCTACCACATGAAAGGATTGAGACATCGTCTTTATATACAGACATGTATAGCATCCATACAATGGCAACTGAAGCAAAAGTGGGGAACAATAGGTGAGGTAGGAAATACATTCATATTTTGGTGCAGATGAGCTCACAAAGGTTTATAGGTTATGAGGTGAATATACAGCGTTTTATAAGAGATTTTGACATGTTATAATCTCATCCCAATAAGATTAAAAGTGGGAGATCATGCCAATGGTAAGAAAGAAGGAAACGTACAGTGATGATGGAGCAAAAAAAAGAGAAAAATGAAAATGGAGTTAAAGAATGAACAAAGAAAAGATAATTAAAAAAAGATGAGAAGTGGAAAGAAGAAAAAAACGGATTAATGGGACAATGTAAAATAAAAAGGACATAATAATACTTGGATTTGATATAGCGCCTAATCGCGTGGAGACGTTTTAAAACTCTTCATAGAATAGACTGTAAAGTGAATTGACTGTATATTTTGTGGGCGAAATGGGGCAGCCAATTGCGCACAGCAGTGTCCCACAAACAGTCGTGGATTGAAGTGAACAATTTATTACTTTTTTTTGAAGGAATTTTTACCCCCTGAAAAGTGATCCAACAATTGACTAACAACCGGGTTCCTACTTATTGCTAGGTAAACAGTGGTGTGTGGAATAAGGTAACTTGGCCAACATTTCGCCCTGCTGGGAACCCAGGTCTCCCGGTTACAAGGCAAGTGCTCTAACCACTGAGCTACAAGACTCAGTGATGAGAGAGATGAGAAAGTACATGAGAAAAAATGGGAGTTTACCAATAAAATAAAGATAATTTATTTTCATCTCTAAGAAAAGCATAATTGGATTGACACTAGTTCAGGCGAGTTAACATTTTGCTTCCAAAGATTTTGTGTCTGTTATTTAAAATGATGAATAGCTAGTAATTAAGAGTCCTGATGACACCAGAAGTGATGACAGCAAGGCTCCAGTAATTTATGAATGTCAGCTGAACGCTACCACGGAATTAATTGCCTCCAGTTCAATCCCTTGTATCTGGTCTCTTGTAGGCAACTATTGTACTGCTATATTAATTTATTTCAGGTAGTGCATCTTACTGATAATCAGGTGTGTTTTGGCAGTTGCTAATGTTGTGGAGTGCTTCACCTTGAATACATCCAAATGGTTGCCTCAAAGCTGATTGACACATAAAATGACTGATACATTGCGAACCCAGGAGCCAATTTGTGCACAGTGATGTCCAACAAACAGCCATGAAGTGAATGACCAATCTTATGTGGGAGATTGTTGAACAGTGGGGATCAGGCAGACAAGGGATCCCTTTTGTTCACCCAAGTACTACAGCTCTGACAATATAGTACACCTTCAGCATTGGAGTGTCCACCAGTCAGTTCAAAGTCCCAATGTGGGGATTAAATAGTCAGTAACAGTACATTTTAAATGCAGTACATAGTCAGTTAATGGTTTGCTAGGTTTACTGAGGAGGTCAAAGTGAGGGATTTGACACCCAGCTTTGTTCCTCACTTTATGACTATGTCTATAAATTATTATTTCAGTACCTTGAAACATCCTCCCAATGTGAAAGGTGCTATATAAATGTAAATATGTATTGCACTGTATTGTTATTCAACTTCCTGACAGTGCTCAATAATTCCTTTAAGACAGTACCTGAATGATGTCATCCACACTCACTGTTTGTAAAAGGGAAAAAAATCCACAGATGATGGAGAGAAGAAAATAAAGATGTTACCAATTATTTTGATGTTTGGGGGAATAATGAAACAAGTAAAATCAAATACTCCTACGTATACATTTCCAATTGATAACATTTAAATTTATACATTTTAAAATCTGGCCATTATTCTGCACATTGCCCCCCTCCCCCCCAAAAAAAAAACAAGCACAATTAAAATCATTTTGAAAATAAGGGGACCAATACTGTAAGAAACTCTTGACTTCCAAGGAATGAGATGTCTGGTTTGCAAATTCTAGAAATTCTGTCGAAGTTCCATTTTGCAGAAGAAAAAAAATCTTATGGTGTGATTTTTTTGCAAAAAAAAAGAAACGAATGCAAACAAAAAAAAAATCGATCCCCTCGAACACACGAAACATCTTTATTCTCTGCGCTGGTTCTTGTCCGGATCACTTTTTACCTGTGATTTCCCTTCCTTGTTGTTTGCGGATTCCCCCTCTTTTGTTTTGTGTTGATTTCATTGCACTCAATAATTAGGGGTGTGTGGGGAGGGGGGGAGTGGTGGGGGGTGTGGGGGTGTGTTTGGGGGGAATTAAAGCACAGAGAGGGGCTTTGCATTTCCCCTTCTCATGCATATAACCTCCTGATTCCCACATGTCCCCCCCCCACTCCCACACCCCCTCTCTCTCCCTCTCTCTCTCTCTCCCCACACACTCACTACCTGAAGGCTCAGCCCCGCACAAAGGAGACTTCATGCTCCAGCGTTAAAATAAAAGTAGCGCCGCAGCGCAGGTCAAAGGGTTATGTTGTTCTAAGGCGGAGCACTGCTCTCTGCTGCAAAAATAAATCCCTGGCAAGACGAGCCGGGAAGCCGGCAACACAAAAATATATTCCACCCCCACACCCCCCCACCTTCCCTCCCTATTGCACGCCAACAAAAGGGAAGACGTGCAAAGCAGCAATTTCTCTTCTTTGCATATTTTTTTTTTGGGGGGGGGGTCGAATGGAAGGAGTGTGGAGAGGAGGAGGTGGTGGAGGTGGGGGGAGGGAGGGAGGTGTGTGTGTGTGTGTGTGATAGCAATATGATAATGAAATCTATGTGTGTGGGAAAAGAGGGAGAGAAGGGGTGAGTGGGTGAGTGAGTGAGTGAGTGGTGGTGGGAGGAGGAGAGGAGAAAGAGGAGGAGAGAGAGAGAAAGGAAGGAAGGAAAGAAAGAAGGAAGGGGAGGAAGGTGCTGCTGCTGCTATTGCTGGTGGCGGAGGGTTTGGGAGGCGAGCTCCGGCGTGTGTGCGGTGCTGCGCTGTGTGTGTGTGTGTGTACTTGCGCGGAGGGTTGGCACTGAGCGGAGACAGTGCGTGAGAGCGAGAGGGGGAGAGCGAGAGAGAGAGAGCGGCGCACAGACAGACAGACAGAGACAGTCACACACAGACAGTCACACACAGACAGACACTCACTCGCTCACTGGGCACAGCAGACGAGGCGGTGGGGCCATGGCCGGGGACACGGATACTTTGTAGGGCGCTCCAGGAGCAACATTGTGGCCATGCGTCCCAGCGCGTCTCTGCGCTGAGATTATCCCTCTGGACTTTAAATCCCCCCCTCCCTCTCCCTCTCCCTCCCCCCCCCACCCCCTCCACCTCACCCCCACCCCCTCACCCCACCCCACCCACACAAGAGGAAAGATTTTTGTGGGAAAGAGGAGAGACGGGGCGGGTGGTGGTGGTGTTGTTGGTGTTGGGGAGGGAGGGAGGGAGGGTGGAGGGGGGGGTTTGGAAATGGGGACCGTCCTGTGGAATTTGCTGTTGTGCAGCGTTTGCTCGTCGATCAGGGGTGAGTTTTTTTTTCTCCAAAAAAAGTTAAAAGAAAAGGTTTGCATGGTTTTTTTTTTTGGTCCACTCTTCTTTTCTCTCGCTCGCCCACCCACCACCCACCCACCTCCCTCCTTCCTTCTCTCCCTCCTTCTATCTCTCTCTCTCTCTCTCTCTATCCCTTCTTTCGACGAAAGGAGAGCGGCCTTTACGCGTTTTTGTGAAGGGGCCCCAGAGAGGAGAGAGAGAGAGAGAGAGAGGAGGAGAGAGAGAGAGAGAGAACAGGATGGTAGTCTTTCTCTCTCTCTCTCTCTCGTTCTCTCACACACCACAACCCCCTCCTCCACTCCCCGCCACACGTTTATCTTTTTACTGTATTTATTCGGTTGTCTGGGAAGTCAAATGGTTTCACTCCAAACTGGTTTGTGGTGGTGGGGGGGGGGGGGGGGGTTGTGGTGAGGGGTTTGGTGGTGGTGGGGGGTTTGATGGTGGTGAGGGGTTTGATGGAGGGGGGGGGGTGTTAAAAAAAATGTCGATCGAAGCTCTCTGCAGCTCACGTTTCGTTCGCGTGAGAATCTGCGATGAGGTGGACTTGGAAAACCACATTTTATTTGTGTGTGTGTGTGTGTGGGGGGGTTGAGGGGGTTGGGGTAGTGTTGGTGGGTGGGAGTCTTGAGGGAGGGGGGGGGGGAGAGAGAGAGAGAGACGTGTGGTTTTGGCAAAGCAGTGCGGGGATTGCTCAAAAGGAGGGGAGAGGGGGAGAGAGAAGCAAAGCAAAAAAAAAAAAAAAAAAAAAATTTCTGCTGGAACTTTGTCTTTCGGAGAAAGAAATGATTCGAGCATCTGTTTGCCATATTATTGAGAGGCGACTTGCAACAACGTTAGAGAAACGCGAGCGATGGTCGGATGGAGGCGGATTTTTTCACACGTACAACGCACACACACACACACACACGCATATGTATATATATATATATATATCTAAAAGGCGAAGCGATCGGACGAGCTGTTGCTCACGCGTCGTGTGATTTGTTTGGCAAAGGAAAAAAAAATCTCAAGAGTAGCCCCGGGGCACGAAGTTCCACTTGAACCCTCTTTCGTTGTGAAGTCGTAGAAGTTTTCTCGAGACTTGTTGGCTTTCCCCACCCCCCCCGGGGGGGTCTGGTCTCGTTCGCCTTCATTCGCGTTTTTATTTCTTTTAGAAGTAACTTTTCAAAAAAAAAAAGAAAAAAAAAAGAGGCGGTGGGTTTTGAACGAGGTTTTCGTTCGTGTTTTTTCCCCCCTCCCGAAAGCACCATTTCATCCCCATCTTTGCACTTCTACGTTGGTTGGAGCGAGGAGTGGGCATTGCATCTGATGAAATGCAACAAGTAGAAAGAAACAGTGAGGAAAGGACCACACACACACAAAAGCGAAAGACCTTTGCGAAGATGGCAGGAATCATTTCTTCGGGTCATCCCGAGTCGAAATTGTTGCATTCGGTGACTTAATATTACCACAGACAAATTCATCACTGACAGCACCGGCCCCGCATCATATGTTAGCATTGAGTCCCCCAACACTGATCGATTCTATTTAACATGGCATGTGAAAAAAAAACCAATAATAAGTTGGTCATTTTCAATCCACGACTGTTTGCGGGACGTCGCTGTGCGCAATTGGCTGCCGCGTTCGCCCACAAATATACAGTCAATTCGCTTTACAGTGTGTTCTGTGAAGCGCTTTGGGGCGTCCTCCCGACGTGAAAAGCGCTATATCAAATGCAAGGATTATTATTATATTATTAGTATTATTATGTATTTGAATCAACAGAAATAGAAGTGTTCAAAGATGAGATTAAGTTCATCAATTTAACAGTTTACAAAATCTAGTTTTTTTTTTGCCGTATTTGAAACTAACTTGACAAATTTTTTCAGGGGACCATTCTCAAGTTTTGAAAATTTATGATTCAAAGAAATCTAAACAGAATAGCCATATGGAACATTTGTAGACTGACGGGAGTCGGGGTTGAGTTTTGAGAGTGCACAAATGTGTACCTGTTTTTAGTTCCATATGTTTGAACGAATTTATTTTTAATATCTTAAAATATTTGTTTTTTTCCCCTTCATTTTATGTCACTATTTTTCTTTCCAGTTTTTCTGCAATGTGAATTGGATTGAAATCAATTCTTAGAATGCTGTACTATCGAATATTAGCAAGCTTTGCTTTTGCGCACATCAGAATAGGTGAAATGCTTTTATAAAAAATTAAATTTATACAGAAAGCTACATAAGAAAGCCGTTCAGAAGAACCTAGCTTTACTGCTTTTCAATTTGGAATGCAAATATTTGGGAAAGGGAATTCTCAGCATGTAATGTTTTTGACACTTCAACACAGACACAGCTTGCTTATGATTTTGAAAAGTAATGTTCTGTTTGTTCAGATGGGAACGCTAGGAGTGTTTATAATCAAGTACACTATTGTAGTTATAGTCAGGAATGCAGCATGCTGTGAAAATGTTGACACTGCGTTGGCTCTTCATGGTGAAAATGTGGTGTAGTTTGCAGTTTTAAGTTGTACACTTTTTGACACTGGTTATTTCTGGTGGATATGCACCAATTGAGATCTTTTGTGGACCACATTGGATTACATAATCTACTGAATCAAATATTTTCACAGTGGTGACTCATTCGGCCACTGCAATGTAATGCCTTGTAATGTATGCTGCGTGGATGCAATCTGTACACAATATGGTTTCTTAATAGAATTAGGACAGGCAATGAAGAGGTCGGGTATTGTTCATATAGTATCACGTAATATAGAATTTTTTGACTTTCTTGTAGCCGCCTATCATACCAACTTAGTATGCGTTCAATTTGCAAAATAACTAAGTTAAAAAAAGTTATGACAATAAGTTATGACTCATCCAGTCAAGTCCTCTACCCGGCACCTCTGCTCGACTGGCTCTGGCCTCCTGCTCGTCCCTCGGACCCTCCGCTCCACCATCTGAGGTTGTGCTTTGGGCCACTATGCCCCAGAACTCTGTGACACTCTCCCTCAATCCCTCCGCCTTGCCCCCTCTCTCCCCTCTTGCAAGTCCTGCCTGAAGACTTTACTGTTCGACCGTGCTTACGGCCACCCCCGGCCCGGAGTCAGGCTCCGCCACTGTTAAGTGCTCTGAGATGCTACCCTGTTTGGAGGGTGCTATATAATTGCAAGTTGTTGTATGACTGAATTGTGACTAATTTATGACTGAATGATTTCGACATGAAAATAATTTACTTGCATAAAACTACTGGATGATTTCCTGCTAAAGATCCTGTTTGAACAAAACTCCTTTCTATAGTGCTGTTAAAACTTTTCTTCAAAGTTTGCGGAACTAACATCTTCAAAGTAAGGTGAAGTTTGGTCAGTTAGTGAATTTGGGGTAAAAAGTTCATATTTTGATAGTTTGTGGTATATAGTTTATACTGATATAACTGAAATAGAAATCTATCTCCCGATTTCCTTTTGCCAATATTGATTTAATATATTTTAACATGTGCAATAATGGGAGAAATACCTTTATTCTTGGTAGTTTTAAGTGCTTATACTCCAATGTATGAGACTAATCAAACAATGATAAGAGGCAAGATAGTTAAGTTTACATATACATTACATATACCTCTACATTCACCAAAATGTAGAGGTAGTTTGCAGACTAAGTTTTAACTCTCGCATGCTTCTGAACAAAAGCAAAATATTTGTGCCATTTATTCTCCAGCATTTGAAACATTCAGTTTAGGCGGCCCGTAAATCAGAATGCCAGAAGAACAGACATGTTGCGAGAGCTTGGGAACTTCTGCACAGTCTTCATTTTTATGCGTAGGACGAATAGTTTCTGTCTGACCCATTATGCAAAGACTTGCGTGGAAATAGATGAGTGTGAATCCAGATGAATGGTCTCTATTTTTGGGAGTGTTTCTGCTAACTGGTTGAAATATTCCAAGTCTTTCATTACCCTGCAAAAAGAATAGCATTCCGTGCATTTTATTGCAATGAAATATATGATTTTTTTTATATTGTCTTCCCTGTTTGTGTAGGTGCACCATTGTTACTGTTTGCAAATCGGCGAGACTTGAGGCTGGTAAATGCTGCCGCTGGCAAGACTAATGCCACCGTGGTTGTTGCTGGCCTGGAAGATGCGGCAGCAGTGGATTTTATATTTTCAGAAGAGCTCATATATTGGACCGACGTGAGTGAAGAAGCGATTAAACTGATTTTTCTAAACCAAACGGGAAACACTCAGAATGTAGTCATATCAGGACTGGTCTCGCCCGATGGACTGGCCTGTGATTGGCTGGGGAAAAAGTTGTATTGGACAGACTCCGAAACCAATCGGATTGAAGTTGCTAATTTAGACGGTTCATTACGCAAAGTGTTATTTTGGCAAGACCTGGACCAACCTCGAGCGATTACGTTGGATCCAGCAAGGGGGTAAGTGCATTGCTTTTTAATTTACATTCCGATTAGAGAGCAGTGATTTGGATTCAAATATATGCTTTCCTCTCTTGTGGTGGGCCATGATAAGGGCCGGATTCATACTTTTTATGTGCAATTCTCTTTAGTCTTCCAACAAAAACACAGAACTAGCAACATAATAATAATCCTTGCATTTCGTATACTGCCTTATCATGTCGTCAACGTGTCTCCAAGTGCTTCACAGGATATACTGTAAAGTTTAGTGACTGTGCATCTCGACAAACATTTCCATTTTTAGGCATTTCCTATTAAAGTACAGAACATGGTAAGCCAATGCACTAAGAATGGTGAAGGAGCTGCAGGAAGTTCATTTTCTAGAACAAGTTGTGAAAATCCAAATGTGTTATCCCTTACTTTGAGTTTTTTTTATTGATGTTTTGGCAGTGATGATGAGAATAATCCTTGCATTGAATTCGATTGCCTTTCGCATTGGGAACAAGTTATAAAGTGCTTTACAAGATTTATCATCAAGTGTAGTGACTTTTTTTAGATGGACGTATCATAGTCGTGCCTTGTTTTGAGATTCAAAATGAAAATGCAATTAAGTTAATAAAAAAAACTGAAATAGTGTGCAATTGTAAATTGCAAACGCAGAGAAAAAAAACAATATTGTATGAGGGGTACACTCCTATATCGATTTAAGACCTGTTGAGTGGAACCTTGACATTTCACTACTAATTAAAATGGTGCCAGAAGTGATCCTTTTCCTTAGGATTATAGAACATTTATCCCTCAAGACTCAGAGATTGTAATTTATACTTCAATGTTTCATTCAGTTTAAATCTCATTGCTTCACTCATGGAAAGGCCATGGACTGGGGGATGAGGGAAGAGAAGGTGATGTTGTGAGATGATCTCTCGGATTCTCAAGAGCGCGACTTTATAACTGGTTGCAAGGAACTGCACTAGAGTACTCTTGTGCTGCTTTCCCACTTCATTTTAAGCAGTGCTGTTTATCTCTTCTCAATCCCCTTCCTTGACAGGTTTGGGCAGAGATCAGGAACTTGTTGTTTGAGGAGATCACAGATGCGTGTTTGTGTTCTATTTCTCTGTGGTTGCAGTACATTTTAGCAGCAGGTCACCTGAGGAAGCACTTTCTGGATAGAAGAGTCTGGTTGTCAAGATCGGGTCAAATTAAGCAATATATCAGTTCTGAGTATATTTAAATTAAATAAATGATGAGAACAACATGTGACATTTTAATGGCCTAATGTGAATCTTAGATATGCCTTGAAGTCCACTTCCCAGAGGTGGGAGATTTTTGTTAAAAAAACATTTTAACTTCCAACTGATTGGAGTAATTTGCATGCACCAGTGAGAATTTGGAATTTGTTGCAAAATTGATCATTTTTTTGTCGTGTGTGTATGCATATGAGGCTAAAGTAATGTAATTTTATTAAGAATTCGGATTTGAATTTGCCTTTGATGGTATTGTGCTTTATGTCCCCAGTAAAGGCCGATAACGAATTATTCTTGCTTAGATAAGTGTGCATTTTGAAAGGTCGGACAGAGTTAGCACTGTTTACAGCATTCCTCTGTGTTGGAAGCAGTCTTTTAAATGGATATATGGTGGACTTTGTCCTGGATTAGTTTCTGTTTTGGACATGTTCAAAATCTGAGTCAAACTGAAATGACTTTTCAGTCACCTTCAGTAAATCAGCATGGTTCGAATGTGTTTCCTGATCTTTTCACCCGCTATTTACCTGCTGATAGTTTCCTTGAATTAAAAAAAATCCCATTTTCCAGCATGGATTGTACAATCTAGGTACACATGTGGGGGTGCATGTCACAGGTAGGTAAAGAATATAAGTTGTCAAAGTGGTATGCAGGTCCGAAGAAAGAAGTGTACTTTATTACCTATTAAAGTTTAATAATCTTTAACCTTTTTTTCCACTACATGACATTTTGTGTTAAAGCACTTGCTTTAAGGCACATCACTCAAGTATTTAATTCTTTAGTCTGAGGTGTTTGACATAGAATCAGGGTATATGTTGCTGTAAATTCCTTGACTTGTCCACTTTTACAACCAAGGGTTGTAATTGCTGCCAACCCTGACAAACTCCTAATTTAATGCACCAAATTGTAGTCCGTTCTCAGATGGTTGCTGATGATATTGTTCTTGCCCTCCACAAAGCTGACAAGGAGATCCACTTGTTTGGTAACTCTTGACAAACGTGTGCTTCATATTAACCAATTCATAAGAGCACAAATAGGAATGGATCAGCGCCCAGCAAATTATTTTACTTCTCCTCTTCTGGCTCAAACCTCCTAATAAAGATCAGATGACAAATAAGGAAAATGGAGTTAATACTGCAAAGATTTTTTAAAAAATAATGAAAAGCAAAACCTGATTTAATATTTTACGTCTGTTTGCAGAGCCATCTTCTCGTGCCCTTTCCTTGTAGTGTAGATTCACATTTCTAGTGAATGTATTTAATATCTTCCCATAATTTCACCCACAAGTGAATTCACTTTGCTGTATATTCTGTGAAGTGCTTTGAGCCGTCTAGAAGACGTGATAAAGCACTATATCAAATGCAAGGATTATTATTATAAGGATTAATAGTTTCTTGAAAGTGGGAGTTTGATTTTTCTGCAGGCAAGTTTTGTATGTGCTTGTTTTGTTACATCCTTTCTGACAACCAGCTCTCAATTTATTCAGCAAAACTCAATTTGTTCTCATCCTGTGTAGAACAAAAGGAAATGTGGTATGTTTTAATTGATATTAATGATACAATTAATATCTATTATGCTATGCTGTTATACTTCCAATTATTCAAAAATTAAACCGGACATTTTACCTTTTTAAATTATATTGAAATGTTTAAAGTTGAACGCAAACTGGATAACACTCTTACAAGTGAGCTGAGCTGATCAGGCCAGACAGAGCTACAAGGTTTTGGTTGCTTGTAGACTTGTTATATCTCCACAGGTAGTATATGATGCATTTATAGATTGAGTAAAGCTTTGGGAACAAGACATGGCCAATTTACTGTGCAGTGACTACATATTTTGTAGGCAAACACAGTAGCCAATTTGCACACACCAATGTCTCACAGACAGCCATGAAGTGAATGACCATTTACTGTAGAATAAGAATGTATCGTGCTTATGATACAGATACGCTGGATCTTTTGAGCTTCACTTTTGAGTTTCAGTGCCCTCTGCTCTGTATATGGGTAGAGGTGTAATATCCCTCTTTCAACTTTTAAATTGCAAGGGATGAAGAAAAAATATTTGGTTGGGCTTAAAAAGGTGGAGTCCTGTAGCTCAGTGGTTAGAGCACTCGCTTTGCAAGTGAGAGACCTGAGTTCAATTCCAGGCAGAGAGCGAAACCTTGGGCAAGTTTCCTTACTCCACACGCCTAATAATAATCCCTCCAAAAAACCAAAAAACAATAATTAAATTGGTCATTTTCAATCTACGACTGTTTGTGGGACATTGCTGTGCGCAATTGGCTGCCGCGTTCGCCCACAAATATACAGTCAATTCACTTTACAGTGTGATCTGTGAAGCGCTTTGGGACGTCCTCCTGACGTGAAAAGCGCTATATCAAATGCAAGCATTATTATTATATTATTATAAAAAGCACTAGAGCAAGGTGAGGTTTTTTTCCCCAGTGAACCAGTGATTGTGTCCATTTTTTTGCTCCTTGGGCTGAGATATTTGATTACCATTACCTTCTACTTGTAAGGTTGCTCAGGCACTAATGGGTTGCAGATTGGATCAGACTGGCTGTACTGCCTGAGTAACACCAACTATCTGGGCTCATGTATGGAGAATGAGCACTTGGGCAAGGTAGGCGATAGCTGGAGCTTGTGGAAAAGTGTCCCCATGTGAATCGTTGCTTCAGGAGAAAAATGGAGGTAAGAAGATCCAGGCCAGTTAGGTCTCTCATCTACTGACCGCCTGCCAGGTCTCTTTAGTTCCATTGCCTTCATAACAAACCCCATTGGGTATGATGAAGACTCTAAAAGAAATCCATATGTTCTTGCCCTGTAGAATTAAAGTAGCTTTTGTGGCTTCAACTCCCCCTCCCCACACCCGACATCCTTGAACTTGACAAGAGATACTAATTATTGTTAAGAACTTATTCAAACATTTTGCTCACTGCCCCAGAATAGAGGGGTTCCCCCCCCCCCCCCCCCCCCACCACCACTGGTTGCTTTCCGAGTGTAGTTCATTCTGTGACCCAAAGTACTTGGTGTTGTGTTCTTGCATTTGATGCCTTTGGAATGGTGAACAGTTGGGCTGTTAATTGTCATGTTATGGAGTATATTTTAACAAATTGCCATTGTGCTTGAATAAACAATTGGCAGACTTGGTTTTATTATATTTTTTCATTTAAAAAATAATTCATTTTGTATCCATTGATTCACCAAGTCTGTCAACTGAGTGGCAGAGCCATAGGGATGCGCTGTAAGTGGAACGGTCCCAGGTTTGATTACCAGACTGTGCTGAGTGAACTGATCTCAGAGCAGCAGTGAGTGGGGTTAACAATTGCCCTCAGCCCCCCAACCACCGGATTCTATGGGAGAACATTACATTTTCGACCCCTCTTCTTACTGGGTGCAGCAACTTCAAGAGGTATGTGTGTGTGCACTGTGATTGAACACAGAATCGGGTTGAGCTGTGGTTTCTACCCCACGGTACTATAACCTGTTGGCATTCACTATTCAAACCTCACATATGAATAATGGCCACTTGGCTGAGTTACCAGAGGGTGACTGGCGCCGTGGAACAGTAGGAGGAGGAAAAAAATGTCAAAATGCCTTCAATGGAAGAGGGTGAACGAAGGCGTAGGGCACAAAAATGCCATTAAAGCTATTGAAATACTTATTCATTTAGAAGATCACGTTTCTGTTTCAATTAGTGAAAGTGGTTCGAGTTAAAATAAATTGCGCTACAAGCATCTTGCTGGGTTTAGGTTGTTAATGTTTAAACATTTTAAATGTT